CTGCCATTTGGCAGAATTGTGTTTATAGACAGTTGTGCAAGGTGTCTTCATTGCTCAGGGGAGAGACGTCTGAATACATGTTGCTTGGTCTTCAGATCACTTCCAAATTACACAGTAAAACAGCCAGAATATTAAATGCAGCCTCACTTTGTGAAAGTGCAGGCGTGAGTCCCTCCTAACCCAGGCAGACTCCCACATCAAACCCACCTTCTGCTTAGCGGTCTCACCCCAGCAATGCCCATTCTTTCGCCTTCTTGTCCTCCAGCATCAAAGCCTCAGCTTGACTTTGCAGATATAGGAGAACTCAAGCTACAGAGAGACACCTCCCTTTGTTGCCCCCTTCCTCCTCTAGCCCCATCCAGCCAAGAACAAATGGGGGGAATCATCATCTTCATACCAAAACCATACCTAAATATGGGCAAAAGTGAACAGCCTTCACTGGCTATCTCCTTTGAAGAGTGACATGCTGTTCAAGTAAATGCAGATCAGATGGCCTGCCAAGAATAGTGATGTAGACCCCTGTATCAGTCAGATGATTGGTTTTAATTCAGTACAGATAAAGGCACCTCTGAAGTCATCAATACTTCAACATCTTTGCCAGTTAATACGATTTTTTCTTACCTGCTTGTTTTTTTCCATTGGTGGCATCAAGTTCTGGGTTGGCAGGTAGACCTTCTGCTACCTGCAGCTATTCTGAGATGAGGCCTCTGCTGCAAAAAGTCTAGCATTTCTCTACGACGTCAGGCAAATCTACCACTCTGAGGCATTGCAAGCGTACAGTAGGCATATTCGTGCTTGATGATTCAGGAGCGATGGCTGAGCCTTGCAGGGCAGCAGGTCTCAGCGTTCTTTCCTGGAGTGATGCAGGCACTTTGTCACTTATGCCCTCAGCCCCTTCCAACAACTGTCTGAGCAGAGGTGGCTGAAGGAAGGAGGGTTACATCTGCTCTCCCCAAACTAAACTACCTAGTGAGAGGCTTGGTTGTAAGCCCACAGCAGAAGCAAAGCAGGAGGAGGCTCAATGGTGCTCCTTCTTCAGGAGTAGATTCCTTCATCTTCGGGAACATTTGCACAATTTTAAAAGCCTTGGCTGAGAGAGGCAGACATGGTGAGATTCATAGCTGCGTTCTGCAGCTCTGTAGTGAAGGTGCTGTTTGACTGTCACTGTGGCTCTTCTGAGGCACTGTAAGCGGCTACGTTGGCCTGTCTCTTGCTGATGCTTCCTCCAGCTCAGCTGCTGCAGCTATCCCTGACTGCTCAGACAGAGCAGGCTTACTCTGTCAGTACATTTTTTTGTAGTGAGGTGACTATTAGTCCCCTGATGCAGGAAAGAAGGAAGATGTTTACTCGGGCTACAGTAGTCATGGCATGTTCTTCGTAGAGGCACCAAAAACAATCTCTTGTCCTTTGCTCTGAAGGAGTCTTTGCTGTTGGCAAACCTGAGAGAGGTTAGACTGGAGCATCCTGAGCTTAGTTTGCTCCATTGCCAGCTCAAGCAGTAGCAGCTCCTGGCTTCATTGGGCTGTATGTGTCCATCCTCCTCCTTCCCAAACGGGGATGCCAGTCTGTGTTTCGTCTTTCCAATCCTCCTCACACTGTGCTCCCTGCTAGGACTTCAGCTCTTGCCCATATATTTCTCTCCTATGGCCCTCCTCCCTTTCATCAGTCACAGAAAAGCTTACCAGCTTGTTCGCGTCAGCTTCTAAAACCCTGAGATGAGAGCACAGGTTTGGGAGCAGCAGGGCTTCAGCAGCCACTGAAGAGGGAAGTTGCCGCTTCCAAAAGCAGCACATTGATGGCTCTTGCCCCATGGCACGAGCGAAGAGCAGAACTAGGAGCTGCTCTTGCTGCAGACCATGTTAAGTGGTGCGATGACGTGTGTGGCACAGTTTGGGAGCCCTTTGCCTTACACCACAGCCGGTAACAGTTGGGAGGGTTCACAGGCACAGCCAGGACGGACATTACTGTCTTCAAAGGACTCGATCCTGTTCGTGTGAGTACATTGCTCACCTGGGATCTGTGTGGACAGCACTTCTTAAAGAATCACGGTTTCTGTAGGGTAAGTAACCACTTTTCATGTTGTTTCCTTAAAGAAGCATTTAAAACACAGAATGACTCTGTCATACTATTAAATCCTTAATCAGCTCTACTGTTATTATGACTGACGTTTCTAGGACCCCTCCTGGTTTAAAAGTGGAAATTTCAGCAATTGTAGCTAGATTCACTGTTCCATGTCCAAGGTGCAGGGACAGATACTGTTCTCAGTACTGTGTTCTTATCATTGCTCTCTTCTGGAAGAACATAGCCATGAAACTGGTGTTTTCCTTTACTGTGCTTGGACATTTAAGAAAAGTAAGGAAGGGACCTTACTGCTTGTATTAGTGTATTGTCTTTATTATCCTATGAGTTTAGATATCAAATAATGCTTGAAGACATTTTCAAGTGCAGCTATTTTTTTCAGATTTTTAAAGTTGAATTGTAAATTTTGAAAAAATTATGCTCCTCTTTTTTAATATTAAAAACAGGAATGAATTATTTAACTTGGGATTTGGAGTTGGTTTGGGTTTTTTTCTTTGTCTCCTTAGGTGATAGAAAGTCACATATTTTGTAACCTGGAATTATCTGGGTGTTTGGAGAGTTAGCAAAATTAGTGCCTCATGGATGTCAGATGTGATAAATTCTAAGAATTATATTTTGACAAATTACAGAAGTTATATTTTGTTGCTAGTTCCCAAGTGGATTTTGTGACAATGCTTTTTGCAGTGTGATGCTTCTCTAATTCACATGGAGAATAACTTGAACTTTGTTATTCATTAAAAATTGTTCCTAACTCATCTAATTGAGAAGAAAACTCAATAATACTATGAGCAGTTATGAGAGGAGTAGTACATCTTTGTCCAGTATTCTGCCTCAAGATTTTCTAGCACCAAAAGCTGCTGGTAAAGGTGGTCTAAAAATCAGGATTATCGTGGACAACTTTTATGTTCTGTACACAAGAGAAGTCTTTAATCCAATATCTGATTTATTGTTGCAAAGCATAGGAATTATTGTATTTTCTGTTTTCACTTAATCCTGTCAAATGTAGCAGATGTTTTCATTATTCATACAAACTTGTCCCCTTATGGTGTATGTTGTTAAGCTCTTTCCTTAGTAATAGTCTTACAGAAGTTGAGATGCCAGCTAATTTTAGGTATAACATTGCCCTCATCTGGATCCACTGCTTTGCAATTTTGCTATGTTTGTAAGGTAATGAGTAAGAGTACCTGACCTTCCTCCTTTATTCTCTTCAGCATTTTAACCACATCTGGTGTTGATCTTGCTTATTTACTTGTTCCAGTTGCTTCGGTTTCCCCTGATATGGTAGTCTTTCCATACCTCTTCATGGCTCATCTCTGGGGGCATCTGCTTTTTGCTACAGCAACTTTACGTGTGGTGAGAACTGAATACAGTAAGCCTTTAAAGAAGATGTTGAATGCCGCTGAGAGGGCACTATAATATTTTAGATAGAATTTGGGAGTGTTTCTTTGAACAGGAAATAATCTGCAAATACCAACAGTGGAGTGACTACATCCATGGGGACTTAATCTGTTTCGTTAATGTGGCTGTGTTAAATATTGTCTACTTATTGTGAGCTACGTTAGTAGAAACATCTGAAAGTCTCTTTCTTTCTGCTGTGACAGTGGAAGATGTTAAGATAGACATCGCACAGTAGCTAATTTTTAAGGGTCTTGCTGGACCCTGGAAGGAGTGAGGAGTCATTAGCGTTTTCTTCTTGAAACAGGTGATTTGGAGATCTCCCATGGACAAGGTGCGGGGTGGGCTTCCTCTCTTTCTCATTAGTTGAAAACAAAGCTTTCACTTTTTCTTTGGATACTGGAGCTGTTTCTACCTCCTGCCTGTATGTACAAAGCCCCAAATAAATGCTTCTCAGCTGTCAGAGAGCTTCAGCCTGTTGCTCTAAAACTCTTCTGCCTTAAATAAGTGTTCAAGGATGCCGGTTTGCTCATGTTCATGCTTACCAGCAGAGGAGGCTGGGGCTATGCAAAGCTGAACTAGACACCAAAAGGGAGAATATGTTACTGAAAAGTGAATGGGAAATGAGAAGGGAAAATGGTTTGGAGGCAGAGGGGTGTGTGTTAAATGTTACATTACTCTGTGGCTCTTGTCACATACCTTCAGCTTGCTATGCCACACGGGCTATGTGAGCTGTACAGGGCTTTGCCCTGACAGATCTGGAAGAGTTGGAGGGGATAAACTCCCCTCCTCCCCTGCATAAACCAGTGTCATCCAGGAGGCCTTCTAGGAAGAAAAGGAAGACAAAAATCTACAAAAGGATGGTGGCAGGGAAAAGGGAGATAAAAGGGAAATTCCAGAACGGCCCTCTGGATTTGCTCAGGCACACCTAGACTTGCCCTCTATTGGGATTTACCTGTAGCATGTACATCATTAAGAGGCTTTATTATTTCTTTAAAATTAATTTTATTTTCTTTGCAGGTCAACTTTTAAGCTGCTATTTCCTGTATAATTAAGCAGAGTGAAGGCATTAGATTCTAGTAAAGTTGGGCCTAATCCAGAAATCTTCTCTTATTCAGGCCTTTCTGAGTAAGAAACTCAAGTCCGGGCCCAGCATTTAACATATTTTGCTGTTATTTCTGAATTATTTGTGGTCTGTGGAGGATTTTTATTTTGTTTTTAACTTTATCGAAGAGTCATTTGCTGTTGTCTAATTTTATCTCTTTATGTGTTACTGTCCAGCATAGCATTAGTTGAAATGATGTAAGTATACTGCAAATTGAAGTGCATAATTGCTACTGATAATGCAAGAACGACTGATTCCTACAGTTTATAATTAACAGTACATAATGTTCTGTGCATGGGTTGGATCTGTCCCTTTTAACTTCTCCTTTCTGATTCTTTCCAACCCCTGGTCTTGCTGCATCCCAGCCTTCCTGAAGATACGATTTCGCTGGAGTCTAGTCCATTCTTCCTTTTGTTTTTCAGACCAGTAAAAATGGGAAGTACTGGATTCTGGTTTCCTCCAAGAAGAGTCAGCGGAACTGGTTAAGACCAAAATCTGAGGACTTTAGTGGGCAAACATCAGGTGTGCATTGAACAGAGGCTACTTTAATCCTGCTTTAAGTAAATGCTTCTTTTAAAATAATATTATATATGAGCTTTTGTATAATGTGTTTGTTATATTTGATACTGCATATAATCATTCATCCTGCAGTTGTGAAAGCACAAGTAAGAGTGAGGGGTTTAAGTGATAATACGTTGAGACACAAATAGGCAATATTACTCATAAAATTCTTTCAGCTGGTCTTTGGAAAGTGTAATATTTGAGGATCAATGTCTTTTTAAGTTTTATGTCCATTGCTCAGTCTATATAGCCACAAGAAAAAAAAGTGGTTGTTTGCTATTCAGAGATCAATACTGAAGTTCTTAATTGCCTCGTCTGTTGAGAACAATAGTGCGTACATGTTTTTTAATAAAACACTGTCATTGTCAAAGGTTGGATCCACACTATATTTGTTCTCAGGATACATTTTTAAGGATGCTTAAGCACAGTTCAAAGTCAGCTTAATTAGTTTTTATCGGAGGAACAAAACCTGAGTTCTTCATCTGTGTGAATGTTCTGAGTTACTTCTGGTACAGCAACTAGGTTGCTTGAAGTTTTGGAGAAGATAACAGTAATGTTATATTGACCTGAATATAGTATGGCCTCCAGCCTGAGGTGTGATCTTTGCATTGAGAAAAGGGGTGAGAAGTTGTCAGAGTTGTTAATTTAACAATTCAGCCTCACATGCTCTTCCACAAGAAACGCTGCTTTTGGCCTCAGATCAGACCCTGCATATCACCCCTCTGCATGGCCCAACATCCTGCATCTCCCCAGCTTGATGCACGTTCAGTTCCTCCCCACTTGACCCCAGCGTTACCAGCTCACTCCTGTCCTCTTGTCCTTAGATGCTCCCTGCATCTCCCTGGCCCCACAGCCCCATCCTAGTTCTGTCCCTCCTTGCAGCAGCTCAGGCTCTCTCCCTGTATCCTGCCAGCTGTGCCTGCTTCCCTTGTCACCAGCTGGGCACACAGGCCACTTGCTACTCAGCTCTGGACCCAGAGTGAACAAATCAACCACATTCCCCAGCTGCTATCTGTGGAGGCAGTTCCCTTGCCCTTTGCTGCTAATGCTGCCTGCCCTCTCTCAGGCTAGGTGTGGATTTGGCAAGGAGGCGAAAGGAATCGTAGACATTCAGGGAGGCAGAAGGGGTTGTAGACATGCAGCGAGGGCCACGGCTGCTTCACTGTCACCTCTGCATGGCAGGTCTCATATAGGTGCCGGTGTGGTATAGGTATACTCTGTGTACGTGTAGATCAGGTTGGATTTTTTTTTTCTCCCCCTGAGCATCATTTGTCAGGAGAGATTAGGCTAAAACAAGATATCATTCTATATTCAGGCCAATCTGCATAGAAGACCAGTGTGTTCATTTACAGGAAAGCAAAACTAGTTTTATTACCAGATTCTGATTAAGGTGTATATTGAAAAGAAAAATATCTTTCAACCCACAAATAGATCACAACTTTGATGTGAAACAGATCCTCCTTTTGATTACATCAATGGCTTCATTGGAGTCTTTGGAACTGGTCTTCATTTACTTTTATTGCAGAACATTATTGCTTACAAGTCTCCACACAACTGTTTCATTTTATCATTTATGAATGATATCAACTAGACAGTTGATTATGAGTCAGAAAATAAAATTAAGCTGGTACTTTGAAGACCTGTGCGCGTTCCCACCCATGGAACTGATGTCTCCAGCTTCATTCCATGAGTGAGAATGAGTCCGACACAAATCAGAAATCACGTGTCCTTAAAGAAACACCTTTTCTGTCACTGGGTAGGTTTAAAGACGTTAGTGGTTCCATATAAATTTTGAGGAGTAAAGGTGGTGTTACGAAGCTTCTTATTACAGAAGGTAGTATAGTTTAACCTGCCATTCAAGGACTTTAGGGTTGAAAGGCAGCAGATTTCCATATTGGCATGGCAGTACTTCTCTCCTCTTGTAAAGACAAGAGAAAGGTTATGGGAAGGAGAAGGGAAGAGGCATAGGCAAAGATACACTCCGTGTGCATGTTTCAAATGGAAATCTCAGTCTGAAGATTTCATAAAATGCAGACGTTGAAGAGGTGCATCTCCTCCGCTTCCCTTCCCCTCCAGCCCTCTTGTCCTGCCACACACTGAGAAAAACACAGGCTGTCCTCTGTCCTTGCTCTTTTTTCCAGTGTCGCACGGAGGCTCTTGCAAGGACCGTTCAGTTTTACCCCCATTGCACCTGGGTGCTGCTCTCTGCTCCCCTCTGAAGCAGTTGGCTCCCTCCATCTCTGCTGAGCCTCAGCAGAGGCGAGAGGACAGCTGAGGCCAGGCCCAGGCTGCCTCCAAGCTACCCAGCCTCCCCTGGCTGCCGGCAGGGAAGAGCCCCTTTTTGGTTTTTTTTGTTCATCTGGGAGGTGGTGTTAGGTTGGAGCAGCTGTGGCCTGGTGCTCCCTGCCGGGCTCCTGGTTGCCCAGCTCCACCTGTCCTAGCAGCTGCTGCCTTCCCCTGCCCTGCTGGTGGGGGCCGTGGGGGCTGCCGGCCACTGAGCCACCTGCCTGGCCACTGCTGGGGTGGACAGCAGCTGTGAGATGTAACATGAGCTGGGCGAGGGAGAGCACTGCTTTTGAGGGAGAAAAGCCAAATTTCAGGGCTTTCTGGCCCTACCAAGTGCTTACGTTGAGTGGCATCCTCCTCCTCAGCCCTGCTGCCACAGATCTCGTGCTCGACCCTTCCCCACAGCAGGTGCCACTGGGGTTTGGTATCTATAGTGGCAGCTGTGCTCCAGTGATGATCAAAAGCTCTCAGCTACGCCTGCCTGACAAAGGAGGGGTGTGAAGTGCCCTATAATGGCAGGTGCCCGGTTGCTGCTATACATTACCAGATGATTAATTTAAAGCTGTTTGCCTAGCAGTCAGACACAAGTGTCATGCACCTTCTTTAGTTGAAAGCCTTTGGTTTAGTTCATGATTTGCAATGCCTGCATCCTGAGCTAGCCTAAATTTGAACACTTAGAGCCCCTACGTCTTGCAGGATAGCGTGAGGAAGGTGGGAGTCTCCGGTCCTGGGCTGAAAAAATCCTAATCTGTCCCTAATCAGTGCAATTTCTGTTGTTAGTATGTCAAGTCTGTGTTAGCAGAGGGTAAATTTAGAGGAGTGTTTCACCGGACATTAGCAAACGTTGGCAATATGTAAGTTTTACTGGAGTAGATGCACAGATGTGCAGTAATCGCAGGGAGGAGGTACACCTGAGAACACGAGCTTTGCCCTCCCCTAGACTGTCAGCATGGGTGCTGCCAATTTTCATGCAGGTTTTCAAACACTTTGAGGCTTACAGATTGTCGCTTTGATGACTGAGTGCGTGTGTGCATGTGTGTGTGCGTGTGTGTGTGCATGTGTGCGTATGTCTGTGCAAACACCACAGGCGTGGCTTTAATTCTTTTGAAATCCAAAGCTGCCAAAAGCCGTCTGGGTAGGTCGGCTCTTTGCCTGATCCCTCCGGTAATCTGACAGAAATTTTGCTGTTCTCCATCAGTGCTTGAGGGGAAGGTTGTGAGGTGTGATTTCAGGGCATATGTGGATCTGTTCATCCTGAGCAATGTGTTTTAAGAGTTGCAGCAAATAGTGTAAAGAAACCTGCAGGTATTACATTAGACCAGCTGAACCTAATTTTATTTTTAAGTTTTATTCAGAAACATCACATAGCAAGTAAACTTCAAAATCTAAGTTTAGTTACAAACTAGTTGTTTCTTATTTTTTTTTTCCAGTCCCCTTTTGCTTTCTTTTACGACCACATGAAACTTGAGAAGCCATCTAAAGCTAAATCATTTAGTGGAGTTGGGCAATTCCCAAGTGTCCAACAAGAAGGCCTGGTTTAGGCTGCGATGGCCACTGTCATTCCTGGTGATTTGTCAGAAGTAAGAGATACCCAGAAAGTCCCTTCAGGGAAACGTAAGCGTGGTGAAACCAAACCAAGAAAAAACTTTCCTTGCCAACTGTGTGACAAGGCCTTTAACAGTGTTGAGAAATTAAAGGTTCACTCATACTCTCACACAGGAGAGAGGCCCTACAAGTGCACACAACAAGACTGCACCAAGGCCTTTGTTTCTAAGTACAAATTACTAAGGTATTAAACTCTATTTATCTTTCAGATTATATTATCTATTTTATGTTGGCCGTGTTAAGCCGTGTAAAAGTATATATTTGTGTACGCCTTCAGCTGATTGCAGAGAGGATGTGTTAATTAAAGTAGCCATTGGATTGTTTCTAGAATTCTAAATTACCTAAGTTTGCAAGCTAATGTCTTTAATTTTGTTTCTTAATTTGTTTTATGCTTTTGTTTTCTGTTTGTTTGTTTGTTTTGTTTTATTTTTTTTAATGAGCATAGAATTTTCATTTGTATAAGGAATTGTCACAAGAAAAAGAGTATGGACTGAAAATTTGTTGGCTATGGACTTTTACATGAGTACTTTCATACTTGCCCATATACCCCTGTTACAGTAGCTAAAACCCACCAAAACTAAAGTGTCAATTTAAGAGAAATGACTTGTGTTTTGCTATATTTAAATATGTCGAACTGTCTTTGTAGTGTCATGCTTTCAGTTAAAAGGTTCTGTTGCAAAGCAGCCCTTAGTGTAGTATTTAGCTGCCATTAAAAAATGAGCACGTGTGTTTTTTGATCAAAATAATTACTTACAGAATATATCTGTGTTTAAAGGCATATGGCTACTCATTCTCCTGAGAAAACCCACAAGTGTAATTATTGTGAGAAAATGTTTCACCGAAAAGATCACCTAAAGAATCACCTACATACACACAATCCCAACAAAGAGGCCTTTAAGTGTGAAGAATGTGGAAAGAACTACAATACCAAGCTTGGGTTCAAACGTCACCTGGCTTTGCATGCTGCAACAAGCGGTGACCTCACCTGTAAGGTATGTTTGCAGACTTTTGAAAGCACAGGAGTGCTGCTGGAGCACCTAAAAACTCACGCAGGCAAGTCATCGGGTGGAGTGAAGGAGAAAAAACACCAGTGTGAACACTGTGATCGTCGGTTCTACACCCGAAAGGATGTCCGTAGACACATGGTAGTGCACACTGGAAGAAAGGACTTCCTCTGTCAGTACTGTGCACAGAGATTTGGGCGGAAGGATCACCTCACGCGCCACATGAAGAAAAGTCACAACCAAGAACTTTTGAAGGTCAAAACAGAGCCAATGGACCTTCTAGATCCCTTTACCTGCAATGTTTCTGTGCCTATTAAGGATGAGCTGCTTCCAGTGATGTCTTTACCTTCCAGTGAACTGACATCAAAGCCATTTACAAACACTTTGCAATTAAATCTCTACAACACTCAGATTCAGTCCATGCAGAGTTCTGCATCTGCACACCAAATGGTTGCCACATCGTTACCATTGGGAATGCCTTGTCCCATAGACATGGAGTCTATCCACCCTTCTCACCAGCTATCGTTGAAATATCCACTCGGTACTACCTCATACACCATTTCTATGCCTGAGAAAGAACAGCCATTGAAAGGGGAAATCGAAAGTTACTTAATGGAGTTGCAGAGTGGTATGCCTTCTTCATCCCAGGATTCTCAAGCATCTTCATCAAAACTAGGGCTGGATCCACAAGTAGGGCCCCTAGATGATGGGTCTGGGGAAGTTTCCCTTTCCAAGGGCTCCGTTCCTATTAGCGAACCTCTAAACACGCCGTCATTGGACTTCTCTCAGCTCTTCAACTTCATACCTGTAAACGGCCCTCCCTATAATCCTTCCGTTTCGGTGGGAAACCTCGGCATGAGTTACACGCAAGAGGAGGCACATTCTTCTATGACTCAGCTTCCACCACAAACCCAGGATCCACAAGATCCTAGCAATAGTATAGGTCTTGGGTCTCTGCACTCGTTGTCAGCAGCTTTCACAAGCAGTCTAAGCACAACCACCACCCTACCGCGATTCCATCAAGCTTTCCAATAGGATGTACAAAGCTGGCTTGTTACTGTCTATTTGTAGAAATGCCTTAGGTGACCATTTTTAACAGTGCCTACTATAAGACATTATAAATTCTCTGCTTTTGTACAGTACCAATCTCATGAAGCCAGTAAGAAATTTAAATTAACTTTTAAAAAATGTTTTGAAAGTGTTTATTCTCAGCTGTGTTTACTTCAGGTTTTTTTTTAAAAGAAGCAGTCTCATTGTATTGTCTTCATTTTCACTGCCAATTGATACATCTAAAATGTTCGGTAGAAAGTCATCCCAAGCAACCTCTCAACACTCATCCTTTTTTAAGAAACTTTTTCAACTGTACAAGCTATTCTGTTTTATTGATGTCAGTCGTAGAACTGCCACTTTTACCTTTTAATCTATTTTACTATTCACAAAGAATCCAGTTCAAATATGTATCACAAAGATTCCTGAAGATTTGGGAAAGAAATTCTTTGGTCCATTTCCAAACAAATCCTCTTCCCAAATAGTGACGCATCTGATCTGTTCTATAATGACAAATCTAAATTTTTAAAATAAATATAGAATTCAGATTTTTCTGAAAACTTGTGTGTGTATATATAGAAGTGCATATATACACGTACATATATATAGCATTTTGACTTATATTGAAGTCATTACAAAAGGTGTTAAGAATTTTGCCATTTTCTGGCTTAGTTTTTTGTGGCCTGTTACAGATAATGGAAGAAAAAAATTTAGTTTAATTCTCTAAAATCATGACTGAACAGAATTTCAACAGAGAATCTCTGCTTGCTTAAATGACAAATGTTTCAAGTTGAATTTGGAACTGTGTTCTGCTTTCATGACTCTGGTAGAGGGAAACAGGCAAAATTAATGGCTGATCTTGAAATATAAAAATGTTGTAATGTAGTAATGCAGAATATTTTGTCGCAGTTTTTGTTTTAATTCTTAACTTGCTGGTTTTTTTCTCTTTAGTAGCATAGAAAGAGTACTGCATAGGAATCTTCCAGTAGTGTATTCACATTTGTAGGCATCGGTCTTCTCCCAGCTGCCACCGCCAAAGGGTGGATCAAGTCCAGCCAGAAAGTGTGTATCTATTTTCAGTTTAAAACTAGAGTGCAGTCAGAGAGTGAATGTAAATTTGCAAATACCAGTTTGGGGTTTTTTGGGTTTTTTTATTGGAATGATCTTTTCAGTTGTGTTACATGGTGTGTTATGTCCTCCTAAGCAACAAGTTAGATGTTAATCACACTTTCTACACCTGGGTACTTGGTTAGGGACTTTTTGCCCATTGCCAAGATTTAAAGACAGGACTCTTAGGAGTGAAGTAAAAGCATATTGCTTACACCACTTTTACCTAATGCAATATATTCTATTCCCCAACCCCTACTAACCAAAAGAGAAAAAAACAAAAAACAACACAACCCTGTGATGCATGAAAGCAAACTAGATTTGCTGAAACTCAACAAGAACGTTCTTTTCCTTGTCGTTTTTGTACAAGGAATTAAAAAATAGAAATCAAGTACAGTAGTATCTCTCAAACAATAATGAGGATTCATAAAAGGTTTTAAGTGGTTAAACTAAATATACTTCACAGAAACAAACGTTGCTCCCATTTAAGGAGCTCATGCTCCAGATGTTTTATCAGTAGCTCCTACTTTTTTTTTTTAACTCTAGGAGCAATATGCAGGTGTAGTTTTACTATTTTATACATATGTGTATTTAAATTTTATTACTGAAAGATAACATTTTTATAAATGTGTTTGTGTTCCAAAGGCATTAAAATAAGGATGTATTAATAAGGAAAATACCTTTTGGAAATTCTGCAAACTACTCCTAGATTTTGGGTTTAGGAGCACGTTATCTCAAAGTGGACTCTTAGCTCTGCTTCATGACTGCTTCCTCTGGTTTCTGTGAAACAGATTGCTCGCTTACATCTTTAGTTGAATGATTTGTTCAATATTGCTTTTTTTTTTCTCTTCACCTTTCTAAAGGAAAGAAAAACACAGATGAACAGAGCACAAGGTAAATGCAACCGAATGTAACTCTAGTTTAAATCAGCAACCATAACGCATCTAGAAAGAACCAGGTTTTATTCTCAATCCTTTAAATCAATCTGAGATGAAGATAAATGGACTTAATTCTTCCAGTGGGTTATGTCCCGCCCAGAGCCGAGCCTCTGCACCTACCCTGCAGCAGAGGAAGGTTGTGAGTGCTCGGCGGCATCCTGTGGCCAGCCCGGCGGCATGGCCTGGGCAGCCTCCGGCACACGGATTCCCAACCCGTAGTGACCATTTCTTGTTCTCAGCCGCCGAGCAGACTTCATTAAAAAAAGCCCAGCAGGCACTTTGCCAACACCTGTTTCTTAGCGCGTAGCCAGAATCCTTACTACTTCGTTCGTGCCTTATCTTCCTGAAAAGGGACTGACATTTCACTTGGGAATTAGACGTACATTTCACTTGAGAAATAGGGACCTCAGACAAGATATTGAACCTCATTCGGTCAGGGTTTCAGCGGGTGGCTGCACCGCGTGTGTCTGCCACCGAACTGGGATGTAGGGTAATGTGGAAGCAGGCTAACACTGTAAGCAATACTACCACCACCAGAGTGCTTTTGAATATCACTTAGGCAGAAGCAATACTTGGCCACTACTAAACCATCAGTTTTTAAACCCTGTTTTCTCGGTTTCATATGGATTATTGGCGGGAGGGGGGAGGGCTGGTTGATCATGCACCACTCTTTGTGCAACTTCTAAACTTCTAGTAAGGTTGTTTTTTAAAAAAAATATATATTTTTGTGTACTTGTTGCTTGTGCTTTATTTAGTAGTAAATTGTGGAATAGAGTGATTTATTGTTAATTTGGCAGTAGCGGTTTTTAAAAACCATATACTGACTGAAACATGAGCCAGAGCTGATTGCTTTATTAAGCTAATAATGAATGTTAAGAGTACATATTTTCAGGATCATTTGCCTAGTGAGCTAAACTTGTATTATAGGCCAATATTTTTTAAAATAAAGCTTGGTCAACCTCTATGTTACACATATTACAAGATATAGCACTTTCAAAAAGAAAACCTAAACCTTTTAAGAAAATTTCTTACAGGTTATGCTTTTTATTATAAAACCTTTTATTATAATTTGTTTCAAGTGCCATTAGATTACATATATGTAGGCCTTTGGTATAATGCTTTGTGTACAAAATGGTAGACATTGTAATTTTAAACAGGTACATTTTTACAGTGTTTTCTTATCAATTTGCTATATTGCACAGAACCAGTGTGTCTTTCTTAAGGGTTTTACAATGGTTTTTACTAGGTTTACATGTTTCAAACTACACTGTCTTCTACTGCCATTTTGAATACCAGTCAAAAAGAAATCAGGAGTTTGTCCTCACCGATTGCAAACTGTGTCCTTCAGAGTCCTGGATGGTAAACTATGGCAAAAATGTTTAACATGCAATATTCAATACAGATCTTTTTTATCATAACCTATCATCACCGTGCTGCTGTCTGAAGTTAACTTAGGGCCTGGTCCTGCATCCGTAAAGGTCGAGGGGAGCGGGACTGCATCCTTCGTTACATCTGTCTCATACACTGGTTTAGCAGCTCACCCTGTATTCTGCTCAGTCTATAGATAAGCCTCTGAACTAAACGTACTTAGCTGGTGTGTAGTAACCCCTATAGGCTTAGCTGCCCGGCCTGCATCCTCCCGGTGTACACTTAAAACCACAGCCTCCTTAGCATTGCGCTCAACGTACAAATAACGCCACAGCAGTTCAAAATGCGTTTGGGTAGTCCCGAAGCCTTTATGCAATAAGGGTGTCTTACTTTTGTTGGAAGGCAGTGTCTTTTGATAACAGTTATCTAGCCCTGGAAGTGACACAGAACTATCGCTAATCATACGTAAACACTTTTCAGTATAAGCTTCAGTGGTACAGTTGAACCAGAGTGAATGTTTATCTCCTCAGAAACACTCCTGCAATATTGTTATATTGGATCATGCTGCTAATGTAACTTGGGATACAACTCCTCTCATGGTGCTACAAACCTCCCTGTCTCATTCAGATGTATTTTTACCCATAGAAAAAAGGACTATACTAGACCTATAGTTGTATGATATATTTTTATACTGTGACTTAATTTGTCATTAATGAACTTTGTGCAACACCACGATGTATTCATATGCACTTGGAAAAGTAAAATTTTGGACATGCAAATTTAAACGCTGACAAGCCCAGCTCTCGTCCACAAAAATAGGTGACTGCTAGTTAAAATTAAGCGGGGGCTTTTTATATGGTGTGGAGTGAAGAACATGCTGTATATTACTAAAAGCCTTTGAATTTAGACAAAAACTGGGAAAAGTATATTGGGGAATGATAACACACCCAAACCTGACTCGAATTGCTGAAATTATGTTTTTAGTTAGTGGAAAAATTGTTTGGACTTGTATGCTAAAATGTTTTAGTGATAAGATTTTTGAGTCAAAAATAGAGAAAAAGAAAAAACACAGAAAACCCTGCATTCCAGACTGAATTTGTATATGTTTTTTGCATTTAAAATTTACTATCCTGTGATATGGGAAATTGAGTTGCTTATCATGTATATGTACTTTAAAATGTATTCACAAACTACTGTTGTATTTGTATAAAATATAGACAAAAAGATTGCATATATATTTTTGTGTATAAGCTCTGTAAAATAGCAATCACATTATGAAGCTGCAGCAGAACTTCATTTTAAACATTCACATCCAAAGAAACAGACTATTTATTGTCCACATACCCTGATTATAAAATATACCTTGCTGCTATTAAACAATAGTGCTGCAGCTTCTTGTGGCCTACAGTGTTATGTTTGCTGTACAAAAATATGTGAACTCCACAAAATATATCAATAAAATTACAGAATGGTTTTAGTTAATGAACAACTTACGTCTGGCATTTCAATAGATAATCCTGATCTGCATGTTTGGGGTTACAATAAGTAATTGCAGAGCACATCCAGTTGTTCTGAGTTTCCAAAGATGTGTCTATCTTTCTGATTTATGACTGGTAAAATGTCAGTTTTTCAGAAAATCTTAAAGCATAAGTATCTGCGTTTCGTGATTTCACCATTGAACAAATTGGGCGATGCTGCTGTGTCTGTGACAAGACAGATTTGTTCTGAAGGAAGTGATGAGTTTTCCATCAAATTGGACTTTGAAACGCTGTGAGACACTGCCAGATGAGTTTGGGGATTCTGTAATGGGACTGCTTGTTCAGGAGACGTAGGTGAGTGATTCTCCATCATTTCAGATTATTGCCAGTAATTTGCATCTATGGTTACAGTTTGCAGGATAACCTGGAAGGGTGTGGCGTGTGCTAGACGCAGTGTGTGGGTTGTGTCTCTGAAATATCTCCAGGACAAGCTCTGTCACTTTGATCCCGTGGCACTGCTGAAGTCTGACTCTGGTGTGGTGCGGGGCAGAGGGACTCCGCAGCCAGACGAGCAGCCTGCTCATGGCTGCAGAAAGTTGCCTCTCTGCTCGTTCCACACAGTTTTTCCCTAGCATAGACTGTTTGCCAGGAAAGTAAAAGACTAGCATTTCATGTTTTGGAACATATTTTGTTAACATCCTTAACATTGTCTGTGTTTTCCTGCTTTTGGGTTTCTCTTTTTTCCAAGTCAACTTTCTAGATTACTTGCTGTAACCCAGTCTGAGAGAGATGAGCGTT